TTTAGGACTTTAAATTAGAGAATATGAAATGATTCCACCTGTAAGTCCTACCTCAGAAGAAAACTGCCATTAAGCCATAATGAAATTTTGGCAAATGCAAATTACAAAAGAAAGAAAGAGAAATAAAGAAACAAAGTGAAACTGCCTGTTGTAGATACACCATATACCATACACTTTGCGATAAAGATTCCCTTCTGATGAGAGACTCCCTCTGGAGTTGTGGCCTAATTAATGGACTTTATGAGCTCTCATCACCTTTGTACAGCCTCAAAAAGAGAAATGCACTAAGCAAGGATTGATTATAAACGTCATTTTTTCTGTCCTCTGCCTCCTCACCGTGGGTCTCACTTGTGTGTTACCCTTTCAGGACACAACAATTCTTGTGATTCAATGGTGCTTTGACTAACAACTGCAATTTATTAAAAATCATGTTCCTTTAGGCAATTATCAGCCAAACCAGAATTAGACTGTTTAGTCTGTTGGCCTTTCAAGCTTTGCATCTTCAAAAGATTTATTTGAAGTGTTAACATGCTGATTTTTCTCTTGCTAAAACAATGCACTACAGTGATGCTGGCAAAAAGATTCTTTCTTCCAACCTGCAGTTCCCATCTTTTCTCTCCCTCAATAACTTGCTAACAAGGGATCCGGATGTGTAATAAGATAACATTTAAGTCTGTGACTGGGGTGCTTGTTACGCAAGTAATGTTATTTGGTGCTGATTTTTCTCACCATGTGTTGTGATACCAGTGTAGCAAAACTGACTTTATGCTCCTTTTTGCTCACATGAGTTCTTATCTGGATAACTGCTAGTAGATTTTTTTCCCCTTAGAAAAAAATTTTGGTATTAGTCACTAACAGTCCAATTAGAGCCTTTCCCCCCCTGAAGGCATAAACTTTGAACATGGCAGTTTCTTTTACTCATGATTTTTCTTTTAAAAAATGAGCAAGAGCCTTTTGTATTAGTTGGGATCATAGGACAGTTGTAATGATAAAATGATAATAGTAATAATTGCAAGAAAAAGAGACAGACAGTAAGTGGTACCATGGCAGTAGAATTTTGCGTTCATAAGCTTTAGTGGTTTAAAATGTAAAATAAATTAGTTGCATTTATTTAAAATTATGAGAACTATAAGTGTAATTGGTTGTATTCATTCAAAATTGTTACTTTTGCAGTACAATTAGAGAAAGGAGATAAAAAAACTTAGAAAAAATAAAAATGTATACTTAAAGATGTAAATATCTTCTATTTATAATCTGTACATGCATGTATAAAAAAGTTTTTACATGAAAAGTTTGTAAGAAATAGAAATTATGAGGTAATTGAAAATATTTTTGGCATTCTCTGCACAAATTTCTATTTATTTTAGATGCATGTGTTTAAACCTTGCAGTTAGTAATAATTAGCAAATAAACAAGTTAATGAAAAAGAAAATAATGACTAGAAATTTTGGAATTGTTAAATATACAGAATCTTTCTGAAGACTTCTAATATTTCTGTTAGTAGATATAACTACAGTCTGACTTTCACTTTAAAAGGAATTGATATATAATGAAAATATATAAAAATAAAAATAAAAAATGAGGGCCGGCCTGGTGGCGCACTGGATAGTGCGCCGCTTGGGAAGCGCGGCGGCGCTCCCGCCCGAGGGTTCGGATCCCACATACAGACCGGTTCCCGCTCACTGGCTGAGCGAGGCGCGGGAGCAACGCCGAGGGTTGCGATCCCGTTGCCGGTCCCCGGTCCGGTACGGGGGCAACACTGAGGGTTGCGAGCTGTTGCCGGACACGGAAAAAGACAAAAGACAAAAAAAAAATAAAATAAAATAAAAAATAAAAATAAAAAAAATAAAAATAAAAAATGAGCTTCTTTTTTCAATAAGCATGTGTTTGGTTTTGTTTTCTGTTTCTTCTATTGAATAAATAGGCACATATATAAAATAAAGTACAATTATATATATTATTAAGTATAAAAACATAATACTTTTTATACATTATAAGTGTGTGTTATAGAATATTTTCAACATTTTCACTTTTGTAATTTAGAAAGAATGCATATGACACATATGCATTCCTTGATCTTTCAAGGAAACTCCACTGAAAGTTTAAAAGGTAATTTGTAAGATAAATTTAGTTGAAAAAAGAAGTTCTATAGTGGATGAATACCACTTTACTTTTGCTGAAGCAAGAGTGCAATCAAATAAAAATATGTAGAGCTCCAAAAGTTAATTAGTTCAAGTTCAATTCTATTTTAAAAAGATCCATCGAGGTCTAGTATAAGTCTAGACTTATGTCTTAATAGATAAAGGAAAAAATGTATTACATTTCATGGTGTATCCAAAGACAAATAGGAACATCCACTCTTTTCCTTATAGAATTCAACTATAAGCAGTTGGGTAAATGTTTTGTGTAATGTATATTACTACAAACCAACTGGATAGATGCTACATCTGACTTAAGGGCAAGGCCTGTAAATTATGAAACGCAGGTTAAATGATTAAAGAAAAACATTTTGAGCAAATAATTCTTCCCTATCTTCTCTCTTGCATATTACATTCACTCCCCAAAATGTCCAAGGCCATGTGCTTTATTATCTAAACGTGACAGATTAGAAAATGATAAAAGATCATAATTTCACAAATAAGTTCTTTTAATCATTGGAGAATATACTATACAAAGGAAATTATAAGAAAAATATATTTAAAATACTTTGGGGATTATTTTGTTTTGGTTGTTTATTCTGGATGTTGTGAATTTCTCCAACTTTCCCCAGGAGTAGAAAAAAAAGTACTTATGGTTGGTTTACATTCATTTATATATATATGTACATGGTGGGACCCTCTGTCCTCAATATTTAATTTATTACTTATGAACAATGAGAAATGACAGTAAAGGTTTTTTTGTTGTGTTTTTTTTCTTTTTCTTACAATAAATTTTAATCTCTCATCTCTGGATTTTTTGTTTCTAAAAGGTAATGTTTAACAAATATTTAAAAGAACTTTAGGTTTAATAAGAGTATTTTCCATTAATATTTTATATGACACTTTTACATTGTGAAAGTACTTTCACTTTATTATTCATTTTACTCCTGAGAATAATGTGTCTTTTCAACTAAAAACATTGTTTATAGTCTAATACTAGCAAAAACAATGATAAACAACTTTCACTTGTAATCAACTAACATCAACTACAGTTATCACCAGTGCTGAGGCTGTAAACCCTGTTTCATGTTTTAATGTGATGGTTTTGTAATCAGAATCACTGTGTTGGCATTTAGTTCCAATAACTGAAACTACTCTGATAAAGTGGCATTCTTTATTGAGTTGTGAAATAGAAATACATCAAAAGGATTAAGTCCTCAGGTACTTTACAATAACATTTCTTTTCATTTGAATCATTTTTGTAAAGATAAGACAGGAATAAGAAGTAAACTTGAACAAAGAAAAAGGTAATATTTATAAACTACATAAAATGGAAAATCTTCAATTAGATTTTAAAATTTATCTTCTTTTATTTTGTTTCTCAGCAGTTAGAGTTTGATATGATACTGTTCTAGAAATAATTATTTTATCATGACATTGAAATATTTAGCTGCAATTTATTTATCCATTTCGAATTTTGATGTGTATCACTATGAAAATTCTGACTTGATCTTCAAATGCACCTTTGCATTTCAAATGTTTTTAAAAGGTGGTAAGAAGTTCCTGGACTCTTCTTTCATAATTTTTAAAATGTAAGTTTTTCCTTTAATACACTTTTAGCATGTGCATCTGAAAAAATAGCTGACACAATCTATGATGTAGTATATTGTATTTGTTGTTTATGAATAATTGGTAGGTATTTTTTATAATTTTTTAGATTTTTTAAATCTCTATCTGGTATATGTCCACAGTTTGTAGACCCTCAAAACCTTGTGCAGTGCAATAACACTAGTAATACTGGGTATGTTAAAATCATTCATCTGAATAACCACATTATCAATAAATGCTGAGTTTTGAGGGAATCCCAAACACATATGTCAGAGGGGTGCCTGGAGTTGACGAAAGTTTGCAGCTCTGTTCTCTAGCCTAAAGGGGTCTTGGACCAAGGTCTTATTCACACATCTTGTTCCACCAAATTAAATGGTGGAGACAAAAGAAGGTATTGAAGCAAGAAGATCACAAGGAATCATATAATCTGGAATAAAGGAATGCACTTGAAAGCATTTTACCTATATTGTGTATGTATTCTAATGAAGAAGTTCAAAGAAATTTGCATAAAGCATATAAAAGTAGTTTACAGTATCTTTATGAGATTGTACGAGTTAGTAGAGAACAAAGAGCAGAAACACTTCATCTTATTTTGCCAAGTAAAAAACCAAGACATTGAAAGAATTTTTGTCAGTGCTGGTAATAGAAGAGAACTTTGCCACAGTAATCTAGTAATTTACCTCAATAAATAAAACAATGCATACAGTAAACACAAACACACACACACACACACACACTTTCTTTGCCCCTAACATTTATCATGGTCTAAAATAATACTATTAATTTCTACAATATGTAGCTCACAATATTTCTTCAAGTTTCTTATTGCTCATTGCTGGCTTTTGTGGAGTTGTAATTTGTGTTTTGAGTTACAGCAGAAAACCTACCTTGAACTTTTTTTTTTTTTAACCCAATAGAATATAGTGGTACAGTGTCAGAGCTACAAAGTGGAATTTTATTCTCGAATTTCATAGGAAATAGTCCAACTGTACAATGAAAGATTATGCAAATTCTCAAGGAGCATCTAATCAATCACGGTGGTGTGCGAGGAATGCAGCCGATCTCTGAATTAGCTTCTGTTGGAATGTATTCATGTGTAACATCCCACCGCCTGGATGACATCACGACAGCTCCAGGTCCTTGAAAGTCTCGAGGATGATTAGCTGAAGGAATTGGCTGTTTCTGCCAATCATAATCCGGCAGAGCTGCCCATATAGTTCTGGAGACATGAGAGAAAGAGGGAGGGAGGGAAGGAAGGACCGACTACAGCTAAACAAGAGGCACAGCAGCAGCAGCAGCAGCAGCAGCAGAGCAGGAGCAGCTGGTATTCCGGTGATTAAATAGTTCTCATAGCCTTTTTGCTGTACTCGGTCTGCTCCCTGGAGTAATTCTCGTGTCCAAGAAGGAAGCTGCATTTTAACGGTGTGCTGAACAGAGGTTTGAATCATTCCAACTGGCTGCTTGTTTTGAAAAGGACGATGTGTGTATAAATAAAAAGACTCTGCTGGAAGAGTTCAGATACTAGAATTGGAGCTAGAGATTGCTCTCGGAATATTGTTGAGGCAGATTGTATGAACTGAAAGCTCCTTCTAATTAACCTGGAGCCAAGTGCACCTGAATACTGGATATCTCATTTTCTAACTCGGGATACACTCAACTTAGAAAAAGAAAAAATTGAAATGCTTCTCTAGGTAAGTTACTGCTTAATTTGCTGAAACCAAGAAGTGTATAATAAATGGATATATGTTGCTTAGCTATGTAAACAGGTTGAACATAATAAAGTTTTATTCGTGAAAGACTTATGTGGAAACATATATTTTTAAACCAAATTCAATCTCCCTTTTCCGCATGTGTGTGCTTACCTGTCATTACTCTTTGTAGAAGTTCTATTTGCACTATAAATGGAAAATACAATCCTGAGTAAAAGATATAGAACTTGAAATATTTTAAACAGTTGCCAGAACATTTGCATAAAAAACACCCCCCCTTGATAATAATTTTAGTCTTTTCATATTGAAATCGCCAATTTTACAAACAGCATCCAAAGCTAACTGTAGGGTTATAAATGTTTCCCCAAGAAGTGTTACTGAGAACATGGCATTCAAATTACTGAAGACCAGAACTTCTCTCCTTCTCTCTTCAACAGCATAGTCCTGAGATTTATAGGCATGCTCCATTCTAATGGTCTGCTTTAGAGAAACAGCTGTCACAGACATTTGAAATTGTCATAAATTCCTTATAAAGAAACAGATGTTTTCTTCTTAGCTCCTATTAGGAAAGAAAATAAATTCTTAGAACAATGTATGTCATATGACATAAGCACAGGTTCCTAGGAGGACAGAAGCAGCTTTATGAAATACCTGTGAATACCTCCAAATTCCTCATTCACAAAATAAGGTGAAAAACAAGAAATGTTATTTAAATATGGTTTTACTCATCCTTTCCAATATATCTGTTAGAGGAAGCTAAGCACAAAGGAACCTTAAACTTTATTTTCCTTGTAATTTGTCCTGATTAATAAGATACTGTATTTTCTGGTTACTATCATAGAATTTTCAAGTGATGATATGTTTTATTATGATAGGCTATATATATATATCATATATAAATATGTATGTGTATATATATATACTTTGTGTTCTCATAAAGCTCTGAAAAAGTTTCAACAATTTATACTTTATCATATCTCTATCAAAATCACCGTTGCTCGCTTTCGCTGTGCCTTCTATCAGAATATTTCTCATTAATTCAAGATGATAAATGTTTTCAAGTAAATTGCAAACCATGATATTGATGTGCTTCTGTAACTTTTAGGGTGATTTTTAGTTATCCACTTTCTCACCAACTTTATGGTTAACGTGCTGTGAGTTTCTTGACACAAGAAGAAATTGATGAAGACAAAAGTTATTGTAATTAGTTGAATTTCCCCTAAAGGAGGAAGCAATGATTTTTTCTTACAAAGATTTAAAAGATTTGTTTATATTAAAAGAATATCTCTTCTATTAAAAGTAGGCCAATTAGTTATATCGAGATGTCAAGTAGGTACTATATTGGTCATGTTTTTTTCATGAGGCAAGTGTATGTAGAGAATATAAAGTCTACTTACTAAAAAAACAGTCTAAGTCTTCAAGTGGAATTCATAAACAATAAGAGATTAATAAGCAAAATATACTTGCCACATACATTTATCTCAATATATAAATGAGAATTTAAACTGCTGTGATTGCTTACATTTTTAAAAACAAGAAATTCTGTAAATATTTACCTTATGATGATTAATATTACACAGCATTTACATTGATAGACATCCCAGAATAAGCTAATGGGAACTATTTTTGGAAATTGAACACTAAGCAGCATAGTCCTTTCTGATTCTATCTGAATGGCAACTGGTCACCACCAAGATTGATGCATAGAAAACCCTTTGAAAAACTTGTAATGCATATGATTTATTAACTATAACATAAACATCACCCTTAAAGGGAAAATATGTGTTATTTAGAAACCCAGGCATCATTCTTAAATAAAAGAAACATAAAACCTCACAAGAATTTTAATAATTGTTTTTCTTTTAATAAAATAATACAAAATGTGTGTAAATAATAAATAAAAATATAAATGTATATAAATTGTATTTTGTCTTCTGTAAGATGAAATTATTATCTAAGAAATGTATTATTTTAAATTCTTTACCCTAAATACTAAAAGGAAGTAAATGGGGCTATTTTATATATAAATATATAAACTCATAATTTAGAATTTCTATATTTGATAATCTAAATAGGAATAGATGCCCATAGGTATGTTTACCTCAAGAAAATAACAATTGTTTACATTTTATCTGAGTGTTAAAATTGTTACACCTATTCTTTCTTCTTCCAAAAAGGCATCTGTAATTCAATCTCAATATGAACATTAGCTCTTAAAGATGCTAGATAAATGTTTCTAACCCAGTAAAATAGTTGTCCCCAATAGGCCTACTGTTTATATGATCCCCTTGCACTTTCTGTTTGAGTGGAAAAGGAGCCTTTGAGAATAAAATCCATAGATCAAACTTGCTGTGCTTCATTTAGTAGCAACTTCTCAGGGAGAACAGAGAAGTGTTTAGCATACTGTGTTCAAACTAGGAGATTCTGGCTTTTGCTGCCTCCCCAGATTTGGAAAGCAGCTGGGGAAACTTATAAAATAAAACTAGAATATCAGCCCTGGCTGGAAGCCAAGATGGAGAAGCTATGCACCCAGAAGGCTAATTCTTTCTGGGCTGAAATTCATTGATAATGCATTATGTTTAAAGTCTAACCTGAAGTATTCTTTTTTCCCCCCAGTAGAAACTATGGGATGTATAAAGAACAAATATATATTTTCTGAGTAGAGCAAAATTTTAAAGTAACAAAGATGTCTGCCTTATTAAAGGTTGCACTAATGAAAAATGTAAATATGCCTAGCAGAAACTCCTATAAAATATAGTGTGTACTCGGGAGAAGAAAAAGAAATAAAGATGAGATGCATCATCTAACCATCAGTTTAAAGATGGCAGAGAGATTAGAAATGCCACCTATGGATACATGCCAAAACAAATGCAAAGGTTTTATTAAAGTAACTGGCCTAGTAAAATTTACAGTAAAAGTAAACATGCTAAACACTGCTATATCACATATTTCGTAAAACTAGACAACAAAAGAGAAGGTAAACTCTCATTCATTATGTACTCCAGATAGTGAGGAAAAAGAGAAACCATGTTGTTTGTTGGTTTATTTTAATTTTATACAGTGAGAGAAACGGGTCAGGTGTCAGACACAATGCTACTGCCTTCAGTCCTCATGATGTAACATGCAGCTAACCTTTTCTTTAACACTTCAGGAAACTTTCAGCTATGCTGTTATACAGTGTTAAATGCACTGTTTTTTAGTTATTTTCAGTAAGCTTCAGAAGTTAGAGGTGTCATTTTCAATGCAGAACTTATATCCATACATGTGTCCTATTTCCAAGATTTTTTTATCTCAGTTTTCTGAGGAATGCTATCACATTCTAGAGTTGACAAATACAAATTTTATCTTAGAAATAATATTGAATTGATAACAAATTTTCCCAAATCCCAAAATAGTCTGATAATGAATTCCAAACTCATCAATGGCTTCAGGCATTTCCAGACAAATAGAATTTTTTGAAATGTGGATAGTGACTTATTCTTCATTCCTACTGGTGACAATCTTTGCTCATATAACTCGATGTATTTATTTCCTTTGCCATGTTATACTTGTCTATATTCATGAGTATCCAGACAATTAAGACTGTGAAATAGGTTATAACAAAATAATCTATGTATGACTAAATAATGGCTTTCAAGTTACTCTTTTAGGTACTTTACATATATAGACTATCTTAGAAATATTTTTTTCAAAAGAGATATTTAAGATATTTCATTAGAATAAATAAACAATCATGATTAATTAAAATTAAGTAGCTGATTAAAAAATGAAGGGTTGAAATTGACTATGTTTAAATACTTGAGTACATGATTTGATGATGTACTCAGGGTATTTGAGAAAACAAAAGTGATGACTCTTATGTTGTAGAATTGAGACTTCTGTACAGAACCCAACTTTTATTCTTTTTAGAAACTATTGTTCTAAATATGTAAAGAGCTCAATAAAGAAAGCAACTTTTATGGGGCCGGCCCGGTGGCGCACTGCTATAGTGCGCCACTTGGGAGCGCGGTAGCGCTCCCGCCAAGGGTTCGGATCCCACATACAGACCGGCCACTCACTGGTTGAGGGAGGTGCGGACGCAACACCAAGGGTTGCGATCCCGTTGCCGGTCCCGGTCCGGTACGGGCACGACACTGAGGGTTGCGATCCGTTGCCGGTCACGAAAAAAGACAAAAAGGAAAAAAAAAAAAAAAGAAAGCAACTTTTAGCAAGCCAACAGACACACACTTGTGGATGTGCAAACACTTTTTTGTGTGTGCCCAAATTAGAAAATTTCCCTATTTTGAACATTCACCATCAACTACACTTGTGTTGTGCTTTATTTAAAATATTTAAACTTCTCATTAAAATACTTTGATGGGATATATCTTCAACCATAACCAAGTGGAAGTTGAAAGCCAGGTTCAGTATGCCCATGTAAAATGTGAATATAGAAATGTTTCCTTAATCTCTCTTCACTTGTGCCTTTCTTTCTTCTCTTTCTTGTTCCACTTTCCTTCTTCTCTGTTCCCTTCCCTTCCCCCTTTTTCACCATTCTTTCCTCCCTCCCTCACTACTTCTTTTCTGTGTTCCTTCCTTCTACCTCTGTTCCTTCCTTCTGTCCTTCCTTCCATCCATCCTTCCTTCATTCATTCCTTTCTTCCCTCTTTCCTTTTTTTCCTTTTCTCTATTCATTTTTGCCACATCAGCTTAAATGCTGTCTTGCACAGGTGGAGAGCAAGTTACGCATGTTTACTATGGCAGCAGTTATTAATCTAATGGCTTGGTGTAAACACAGAAGAAGTGGATAAAAGTACACTAAGCAATAAATAAAAGATAAGACAGGGTGAGAAATTCATGTGAGAGATATATTGTCAATTTTAATATAAGAACTGTTCTCCCACCTATGAATTCCAATTTAATTTATGAAATTTTTAAGTAAAGTCCTTATCTCCTTTCCCATATATTCCTCTTTCATTGTCAGTGGCATCTTTTCCATGCAG